CTATTTTTTGGCTTCGTTAACACGGCAGAAAAATGATGCTTCGTTAATCGCTAAGATGCAACAGTAGTTTGTTAGGTTTCGTAGCTATATTCATTCAGGTCTCGGACATTAAAGATCTTCACTGTCTTTCATTATTCTACAGAATTTGACCTGTTCAAATGGAAACTCGGATAACCAGGGCCTACTGTATATATCGCCGCCATACAAAAGTAAACACGCCATATTTAGCACAACAGCAATACAAAGCATTGAATGCCCGTGAACCACACGATACCAATTGCTAATCAACGATATTGTCTTGATATTGTTCATATGCATTATTTTTCATGTTCATGTTGTTTTAATTTTTTCTACACTCTACATAAAAGATCAAGTTTAAATCTATCGGCATGCATCTTTTTAAATAGCATGCCATCATTTTTTAAATTTTATATCTAGCTAACACACCTGGAAGTGTAAACTATTGGAGAATTGAATGACTAAATTTCAAGAGATTTTTTCCCTGACTTGGTTCGACACAATTGTATCAATCATAATTATGATAGATTCTGAAATTGTACATTTGCGCGATTATATTTCTCCTGCATAACGGCAGGGCAGGGGATTAGAAACGGACAGTTTAAGACAAAGTTTTGAGACTTTATGAATTATGCGGCAAAAGGAATTGAGCGCTGTATATTATATAGACATGCATGCAGATAAACTTCACAGCAGGGAGATAACGCTAAAGGTTAATTGAATCGATGGTCATCATAATTATGTCTAATTTATTTAAGGTTTTCTTTCCAAAATATTGTATATTACGGCATTATATATACTGCCATATATCGCTATACACATATAAACACGCCGTATTGTACGCATGCGTAAAACAGATAGATCATGCAATACATGTGATCCGCACAATAGTATATATATAGGCCTAGATGCGAATTAACGATATTGCCGGTCTTAATATTTTTGGTTTGCGGTACTTTCCATGTTCACTATCGCTATATTTTTTTTAATAAGTATTTTCCCAGCTTAAAATGGTCATTGGCACTGCCAAAGGCAAAAAGTGTCTGCCCACTGAAACGTTCGATTCCTTAACTTTCCGTTTAAGTTGACCTAATGAATACCTGGAAGCTTTTCTGGATAGAATATATACAGTTAATTGTAAATATAGTGGCATAGTGCGTGCTTCTGACTTAAAAAAACTTGATTGCACGACACTGCCTCTATAAAACTCGTTTTCAACAAGAATTTATATCATGTGAATTACGACGAATTATGTTATATGAAAACCAGCCTAGTTTAGTGTCTATTCAAACAATGTTATGTTTAATATCATCACGGACAATCATAATCAATGTAACTTGGTTTGTCCGCGCTTGTAGAAAAGAAACCAAGATCAGGGCAAACTCACATTGAAACCGAATTGACAAGCACTCAAATATGTGAGAACCGCAGGAATAATTCAGCAATTGTCGATAATCATCAAAGAGAAAATGACTGTGCGTCACTGTAATTTTGATATTATCTTAGTGTCAAAGACGTTTTTCTCTGTACGCTGATACCGACAATGTGCCAATATTTCTCCTGTGGGTTGAAATACCCTTTCTGTTATTTCTTCCGAAAAATGGGTTTCTTCGAATAACACGTGCAGTTTAATCGCTGAAACTAAAGGTATATTTCCGTTACGGGGGCAGAATGAAGATAAAAGACCATATCAGCCTATAAAAACTTAAAGTTTCTTGACACTTTTGAGAGATGTATAACATATTAATACAAATAAGATTTGTCTGCAGAACTCGTTGTATTGTGGCCAGATATTATACATGTTCTGACGAGAAACAACATCTATCAAAAGTGATTGCAAGTGTGCTTAAATTAGGGAATAGGTATAGTTTGCATGTGTTGCGGCATCTATTGCCCACGCATCTATTGTCTTATCGTATGAATAATTATAAAGTGGAATAATGTCACTGGTCAAAAACGTTTGATTGCAGTCGCCAAAGTCATACGTATAGCTGTATGTTATACATCTGGGGATCCATAGAGAGCATAGTACTCACGAGAGTAGCAAAAATTCCAGCTTAACTGTGTTTCAAATTAGCAAACTATGGACAGCAGCTTTCAATTTGAGCCACTTGGAGAGCCTCTAACACGAAAGCCTTCAAAAGTACTATCCATTGTTTTAACGGTTATTCTTATACTGCTGCTTATACTGTCAGTAACATTTATTGTACTGTACGTTACTGAAAAGTCGTCTAACGAAAGGACTAAACCAAAGCCAGATCTATCGTCTTATCAAGAAAGAACCACATCCAACCAAGATACACCGTCTTATCAAGGAAAGACCACATCTAAACCATGTACACCGTCTTATCAAGGGAAAACCACATCCAACCCACATACACCATTTTACCTAGGAAAAACCACAGACAACCCAGATATACCGTCTTTTCAAGGAAAAACCACATCCAACCCAGATACAACATCTGAGCAAGGAAAAACAAATACTAGTTTACCGTCTTGCACTTCGTCGTTCGCACAATTCAGAGATCCAGCATGCAAAATTGCTGTGGGTATGTCATATAGGGCTTGTTTAATCTTTCGATATCTTGTTTTACGTTTACCAGGAATAAGAATTCATGCTTCTTAATATTACGGATAAGCACTGGTTGAAATGATACACAATAAACCCTTCAGGGGGGGAGGGGTAGAGTTGTGCATATCTGTGCAAAATTTATTGTTATTTGTACTTATTTAAGACGTATCTGCCAAAACATGTTTACAGTCATAAATTATGTCAAAAACTATATGTTTACATGCAGTGCCGCACACCTTTTATAGTTACAACAACGTGCTTTCGACGTGCATTTTTAGGTACGTTAAATGCGAAAATCATAGAATTATATAACATAAAAATGATAAATTTCAATTGAAGACTTAAAAATGCAATAGAGACACTATATAATATAATTACAGGATATGTAACAAAAATAGAGAATTCACTTTTGCCAATAACGCACGTAAATATTTTTAACACAAATAGCTACAGCAATGTCCTACGCAATGCGTTACACTCTTTTAAACGGAATTATTTTTTATAATAGCCTCAGCGCTCACCTACAGACACTGCACCTAAGTGCTTTGCGTGGATTTCCTGTGCGTGGCAAAGGGTTTGAAATAAAAAAGGGTCTGAAATTAAAGCAAAGTGTCTGATAGTAATTATAATCCAGCTTTTGTTTTGATCGGGAAATGCATATATACTTGTATCTGCTCGTAAACGATCTCTCTTTTGTATATTTCGCTGTCTAATTTTTATACTATCATAACTATATACATATTATATAGATACTAAATTATTATAGCTATATATATAGCGGTCTTTTTTAACCCATCGAGTATAAAGAGTTCTTTCTACCGTTTCAGCTTAAGTGTCTTTGTATTGCCTATTGCAATCTAAATCGACATAGCTAATTGGTGAAAGAATGTACCGAATTTTGAATTCGCACGGAGAATATCCTTCCTTGCATTGCATATAAAATCTGGTGTTTGTTGTGTGAGTCGACATGCACTGACAACTGATTAAGAAAAACAATATCATAGGTATTTGAGACACTTCACGGGTTATTTTACAAAAGCATTGAAGTTGTGAAACGTGACAGAAATTGCTCGGAACACGACAGCATGGCGAACATTGATTTTAGCCGTATGGGTGAACCTGCAACCCGCAAGCGATCTAGAACACGTATAGCTTTAGTTGTAATATTCATTTTGCTACTCGGCTTGTCTGGGACATTCATTACGCTGTATCTCATAGAAAAAAACTCGTGTACCTCTTCAGCTTCTAAGAGTATTATTGCTGCTGGTACGTACGTTCGGAATTATTCCGTCATTATTATTATGTCATCTCGATTTTTTAGCAAATTCGGCTCATTATACATGCATTTTATTATACATGTATACATTTCAGTAATATACGATGCTGGTAGGATTATATATATGGGTGAAGTGAGACCGAAATTGCGGCCGGTTGGTGTAAATATGCTGACTTGCACTTTCGTTTATACATGATTGAAACCTATTACTAGCCTTTCATGCAATATTGCTACTCCAATAAAATTAAATAAGTTAGAGGAATACTGAATTGAGATTTCACTTTCGCTTTTGAAATTTTAGATTAGTCAATCTTTTTGGCTAGGTTACCGATCTAGTAGTGTCAATGTAAAATATAATGTTCCAGATTTGGCACATCTTGAAGTTAGGATTCAAGAAAAGAAAAAGAATAAATGATCTATATAAATGATATATATCGTCTACAATTATTTAAAGTGCGACAGTCCAAACAAGCAGGAAGTTAACATATAGTGAAAGAATTTGTTTTTAGAGGCAACACTTTATCATCCCACGCATATGCTTAACAATCTCAGTCTCTGTGTGCTTTTTAATCCCCACTGATAGAAAGACTAATATTATTGCAGCCATGTTTGTTTTACTTTTTGAGTTGAGGTTGCCCCCTACAGTTCATAAAGTTCATTAGGCGAGGAATATTTGCGACTTTAGATCAGACACGCGTGGAATATATTCACAACTCGACAACAAACGGCTTGCCTTTGTGATTAAATATCCACCAGAAAATATCCGTTTCCCTATTACATTCACAAATATTTTAAATTTAAACAGCACTTATGCTGTTGATCATTTTCTAGGCTTTCTTTTGCTGTGTTTCTAAATTCTTCGGTTTATGAATCTTATCCACTTAAATATAACTGCGGCATAAATATTTGTTGATGAGTCAAATAGTCCTGGCATGTTCTCTGCTTATAAGTATAACAAAGCAACGCTTCAAAAGAGGAAATTTTAAAGAAAGACAATGCTTTTATGCATATTCTCGTGTCCTGACGCGCAAGAAATGTTGGTTAGTTCGTTATAGGACCAGGAGGTATAATCTTTGAACGAGAAGAGAAAAACATATAGTGTGTACATTAACAGCAAATTGTAATTTTTTTCAGGAATCTTGAACAAACTTGATCAGTCCACGGAGCCATGCGATGATTTCTATCAGTACAGTTGTGGAGGCTTTTTGAACAAGACTGATATTCCTGAAAATGAAGAGTATATGATAAGTTCGTTTACCAAAACGAACGATTTCGTTCAAAATGCCCTAAAAGAAATATTGCAAAATAAAGAAACAAAGTCACGTCATACACCGGTAACTTGTGCTGCAATTAATTATTTACGTCCGTTTTTTTTAACAAAAAATCTAAGTTTCAGAGTTCTACCAAGAAAAAAAATCAGAGAATTATACCAAGTAAAAAAACTAATTTTGAAATTACTGAATCTTAGTTTATTCATGAAAAAAGGGTGCATGGCTTTCAGGTATTTTAGAAGGAAATAAAGAAATTTCATCCTCAATGAATAAAACGTAACTAAATCAGATTTTCATAAATTTTTATTATTGTACCTTTTAGTTATTTTCGATCATATGTGTACGAGTGTAATGCCTCAACCATACACTTGCTATACGATCTTTCATCAATATATGCATGGCTTTACTTTACATGACTGCGTATTTTATGTTATCAAAGTGCGATTAGTTTATAATTGTGATTTTGATAAAAATCGATTAATTTTGAATCAATAATGAGGTCCATGAGCTACTTCATTCGTCAATGATCACCGAATAATAATGGCAGAGAAATAAACTGTCTTTTGCATAAATCAGGTTAATTATATAAAAACGATCAAACCATGCAGGCCTGGAATTGTAGAAAGGTGGCCGAAGTTGTTTGTACACGTGTTTCCTGGGCGAGCCACTGTGCATGCATGTAACAAACAGAAACCGCTCTGGTTAATCATTGAAGAAGAAAATTTCAAAATTACTGGATAAAATAAGCGCTAGTTTTCAATCTCAAAAGCTTTAACGTGCCTCAGGCTAATCCTCTAGAAATCGCACTTAATCATGGTCGTCGCTAGGCCGCTTAATCGGGGAGGAAATTCTTTATACTCGTAAATTCATGCTTACATATCTTCAAATAATTATGCTACCACTTAATAGTTACAAATCTGTTTTAGAATTCGGCCATCTACAAAGCCTTCACGTATTACCAGTCGTGTATGGACGACACTGAGATTACAAGTGCAGGGAAAAAACCACTTCTCGATGTGATACAAAAATTCGGCTCTTGGAGTATCACCAATAACAACTGGAATGAGTACTATTGGAAACTGGAGACAATTCTCGCAAAAACAACGGCTTATCTAAATGCTAATACATTTCTGTCTTTAAGTACAATGTCATCCTACTTCGACAACACCAAAACGTACCTCACGGTAAGAGAGATAAACGTATTGCTGCTTTTGAACGATGTAAAATTGCAAACTACATGTTTTTGGACATGCTTTCAAAAACGTGGCCCGGCCCTATAACCATATTTCTTATTGTTTTTGTCATCAATAATTGTGATTATGCTTATTTTTGCGTTCTAAAATGCAATATCGTTATAGATTAGCGGCGGAATTTCTGGTTATCACGAAAGAGATCTTGACCGACCGTCGAAATCAATACCATCAAAACAGAACTTGAATATTAAGGTATGTCCTTGTTACAAAGGCCCGGCTAGTGTGAGTAATATAACTACGTCAACAGTTATAACTTGCTTTGTGAATTTGAAAATATGCCCTGTAATTTATCCTGACAGTTCTGACCTTCTCGGAATCCACCACCACCCTTACAGGTTGGTGACCAAAATGGCCGGTTGGAAAAAACAAACTTTTAAAATAAAATAGGAATACCGTATACGTATACTGGCCTAGAAATTGATCTTCTAGTCCTATAATAATAATACCTTGTAGTAAATTGTAAAAAATTGATCTGCTGATAAAAAGTAAGAAATTGATCAGCTAGTCCTATAATAATGATACCACGCAATTAATCTACTTTTTTACATTTATTTTTCAGTATTTTGATATTTACAAACCTCGCTACAAAAAATTTATGTCGGCCATTTTCCAACTTCTTGTGGCTCAAAACGAAGCAGGAACTCAAAATGCGAATATAGATATAAGCAAAGAAGTGGATGACATTATCAACATGGAACGTGAATTCCTGGAGGTAAGGATGTTTCTTTTTTATATTGACCACGTAAGTTCAAAATTTTTTCGCCTTCGGCATTTAGCGATCTCAGGGTATACCTGTTTAGATGAAAGGCAGTAGAAGGCATTATATACTACTTGATGACAGGCCAGACATGCAGAGTTGATATATAAAGGTGCAAAAGTTATGCACCTTTGTTAGCTTAAATCAGCTATTGCACATGCTAGTTTATACACGGTGTCCCAAAAAAAATGCCGTTAACCTTTAAAGCGCAATTGCTAAATGACAACGTGATTGAATTAACAGAGAAATTGGTCTCGTTAGTTAAAGCCAGGTGATATTTGTGTTTTTAAATTCTTCAAGTGCCTATATCACTCGTGGAATCTTTATGCATTTGAAAAGAATGTAAAAAGTTAGTTAATATATTAAAAATGTTTCTTGATTTAGTGCAATAACTTTGAAGATACTAGCTACGTGCAGTTCCTGAGTCCCAGGCTGCTGTAAACAATGGACAGTTTTAAATTGAATAGCCGTGTTTAAACCCAGGAGGTTGGGACTCAGGAACCGCAGGTAGTTTAGAGGCTTGTATCTTCGAAATTAATGCACTAAATCAAAAAAACGTTTTTTAATATATTACCTAACTTTTTACGCTCTTTTCAAATGTATAAAGATCCCACGAGTGATATAGGCACTTTAAGAATTTTGGGCAAGAAATCTACATTTGCAAGATAGATTCCAGTAGACCGGTGAAAAACACACCATAAAAGAACATTTTTTATGTTCCACGGGTATCCAGAAACCAAAAACAAACTCATGTTTGTCCTTATTAATACTGCGAAACTGTTTGGCAAAAAACAGTACTTCAAAACAGAAAGTCTGAATTGGCAATTGCGTTTTTTTGGGACACCCTATGTCGCTGAAGAGACACCGTGAGTCAAAAAACGACACAACAGGTCTATTATCATGCTTGCACTTATCAGATCTAGGTGTTAAGATGATATACATGGCTGTTGCTTCAATATTTTTAGGTGGTGGAATATCTAAACCCGCGTGACATTCCGACACTCAAGACAGAGATTAAATATATGAGTATTAGTGAGTTGAATGCATTAACATCATACAAGGTAAGTCATGCACTGTTGTATTTGTAACTTACCAATCTTCATTTTATTTTGTTATCATCATGCAACTCTATATGCCTGAGATCAGAGCATTGCACCTTAATTGCAAAGGTCCAGGTGTATGTTTTACTTCTATACATCAATGCCAACGAATCAAAGAGTCTTAAAATCATGTTTTGAGCGATAAAAATATTGCTGTATAAAATTTCACTTAAAGTAAGTCAAAGAAGTAAACAAAATTTATATTACGTGAAGTTGATTTCTCTAACTTACCACCTCCAGTTTGATTGGGATGCGTATTTTACGGAAGCTTTACGTGGAACTGGTCACTCCGTTTCATATTGGCAACAGTTGATGGTAATAAAACCTGATAACATCAAAAAAGTGATCAACTGGCTCACAGGAAAGCCTAAAAGGTGAGCATACTTTGGACCACAGTAATAAAACTTATTGCAAACCAAGCTAAATTTGATTTTGAATAGATTGTTAGCGAACGAAATAATCTGGAACCTTATTCGTGGTTTGGTCTATAACCTGCCAAAACCGTTCAGAGACGCACAAGAAAAGTATTTCCAACTAAGGACACCCACCCCAAGATGGAAGACATGCAACGCTCTAACAGACGCTACTTTCCTGTATGTTACAACACTACTATATGCTAACAAACATCTGTCCGAGGATGCCATAAAAACGGTAAGATTCGATATAGTCTTATCTAATTTCACCGAAAAGGTGTTTTTGAGAGAAAACATATAATTACTAATACATGTATATTATATGTATGCAAGAAAATTAGATCAGGGTAGCTGTCTGCTGATACTGAGAATATGTAAATCAGTGCAAGTTGGTTTTAGAATAATGCAATATGCAAAAAAAACTCTTGAAGTGGTAACTGAAAATTTCAACTCTCCTGTATATATTGCCTGAAGAATGTCTTGCCATTTTCGGAATAATACTGAGTACCACCAATGAAAGAAGAAATGGTCAATTTCATCAATAGCTAATTTCACAGTGCCATAATTCATGGTCGTTGGGTGAGACAGTTTCCCACGAATACGGCACACTATATAGGCTCTCTTAATGATAAAGCTTGAAAATTTTCACAGGCTGGAGAAATGTTTACGGAAATAAAAAATGAATTCGTCAATGGCTTGGACGAGCAAACCTGGATGGACTATGAAACCAAGAGTCAAGCTCGTCTTAAGGTAATCTTAACGCTGATGCCTATAGGGTATAAGGTTGCATGGCAATTGCAAACCCAAGAATCAGTCATTATCAGTGTTTGACTTTTTTTTAACTAGTATCTCGTTTGAAACTAATGGGCAATTAACGGTAAAATAGCAAATAATTTATTCTTTAACGGAAGTTGTTAATACTTATTTATGCATTTTGTCTGGGTACTGAAAATGTAAACAAATTTTCTGATTGCATGGTCTATAACGAAATTCCTGGCCTCCCTAAACGATTAAACAAACCGGATTTTAAATTTGTTCTTCAACTATCATACACCCTGCATACATACAATGGTTCTATCTGAGGTGGAAGTTTTTTGCGTTTATAGCTGAATAAAATGCGGGATTTGATTGGATTTCCTGCGGTCATTAAGGAACCTGGAGTGTTGGACAGGGCGTACGAAGACGTAAGTACATAGGGGGTAAATAAACGAAACACTTCTCGAGGTTTCGACCTGAAAGCCTTCGTCAGGAGAGTTAACAATACAATAGCAATTTTTCCCATAGTCACTACCCCCTGGAATTCAGCTTTTCGCTTTTGCAGGTTAATATGATAACCCTCCCCTCCGCATTTTCAAAAAACCTCCTGCTAGGAAACGAGATGGTATGATTCTGCCATCTTGCGCGAGAAATATTTTTTTGTTAAAGCGATTTCAAGAAAAATTCATGAGTATATAGAGACCTGCGACCAATAGGAATGCTTGCAACAAATTAATTAGGTCGGACTGAAAAGTTTAATTTATGAATTATTGATCAGGACTCTTAATATTACCGATGAGAGGGGATGTCACCTGGCGTATATGTTGAGATAACGGATATTATATTTAATTCTAGAATGATGAACTAAAAATCGAAAATTTTTGATGCACTCGTTGTGAGGGATCGTTTTCATTACGCACTCGTTCGCTACGCCCATGCACTCGTTCGTTTTGCGATCCTTCACAACGGTGGCGGATCTAGGGGTAGTCAGAATAATTTACTTCACCTTAAAAACGTAATTGGTAGATTTTGATTTAAAAATATTATTTTGTAATTCATAAAGATAGCGTTGTTATTATAGGGTGTTTTCAATTTAAAATTTAGCTGTGTAATTTTTTTCCACTGCCTCTAAGATCCGCCACTGCTTCACAACTCGTGCATAGAATTCGTACGCACTCGCCAACCATGAAGTAATCTGTGTTTTTATTGCTAAAAAGCTGTTCGCTCATGTGTAACTATCACCACGTTATATTGTTACATGACAATCCACAGTGAAGAGTGGTATCCAAGTTGCATTGATTTGTTTCAGATTCAAGTTTATGAATCCAAGCTCTTAGAGAACTGGCAAGATATTCTCCGAAAATTCTATCTTATAAAGATGAAAGGATTCTATAAACGAAACCTGGAGGATTTTGAAAAGTGCGGTGAATGAAAAAAGTGACATTTTTTTACGAGGTTTTACAATTTTGCTCGAAATCTCATATTTTCTTTTGCAGGTCATCTCTTGCATACCTCGCAATAAATGCATACTATAATCCTCAAGCAAATGGAATGAGTAAGTCGAAGGTTTCTCCGATCCAAAGTAGCTATATCATGATTAATCACATACAGGATTATTTGGTCGCTACAAACGTTTGCAGAATTCTTCATTTGCATTGGGAAATTGATAATTGATTTTTTTTTAACCTGATCTTTTGCAACATAAAATTAGCTTTCATGATACGTTATAATCTTTACTTTCCGAAGATCGTTCTTATTATATTATCTGTGTTTTATAGCTATTCTGGCAGGAATATTGAACGAACCTTTTTACAAGCACGACAGATTAAAGTAAGCGTTTGTGGGTTTGTCTTAAGTTTGCCTTTTTCCTTTATGCGAGCGATGCTGTTGGTTTTTTTAGGGCAATGAATTACGGCGCTCTTGGTATGGTCGTAGGTCACGAAATCACCCATGGTTTTGACAAGACAGGTAATATAATACAAAGTTATTATTAAGTCTAATATCAAATATTATGGCACAAGGAGGGTCAAGAAAGTCGTAGGATTTATAATAATAAAACATTACAATTCATATAGAATAATAATACACGTGGTGTTTGCACGAATTGATGATTTTGACCCAGAAGGGGAAGCCATTGTGAGCAACCATGATGTGATGAACTTTGAGATAAAAAAGTTACATGATCAAAATTGAGGTTTCTAAGTGCCGAGAATGATTGAATTTATTCCGTCTATACTTTGGAAAATTTACTACCACCTACGGATTTCACCCCGTTTTTCATGTTATGGTTTCGCTAAGTTGCCAATTCTTTAACTGCAACCACGGCGTTATACACAGGTAGCGAATTTGACGAGAAGGGAAATGTTCGCCAATGGTGGAGTACAAAGTCGCACGAAAATTTTGTAAAACGATCGGCATGTTTGATAAACGAGTACAGCAAAATTAACATGTTTGGCTATCAGGTTAGTGTGAAGGTTTTGACTATTCAAATAGGAAGTTCGCACGTTGTCAATTAGTATAAGTGACCACAAGATCTGTGACGTCAACTTGGCAAAACGCGAGTCGAAACGTTCGTTTGAACCATAACCTAACGTTAGCCAGTTACCTTTATATCTACCTTTATTTTTCAACGTTCACAACTTAGACTAAATTAAATTGCTTCCTTTCCTAAAACTTATCATTCAGTAATAATGCGCACGGTGATATTTTTAGGTTAACGGCACTAGGACATTATCCGAGAACATTGCTGATAACGGAGGTTTGAAATATGCTTATCGGGTAAGTAAGTTACCATTATTAATTCCTGTCGTCTGTGTAATTCATCCGACTCTCGTAATAAATATAAGTAATATTGTTATTGAAAGTAATACAAATTTTTTGATAGGCGTATCAAAACTGGCGGAGAACAAATGGGGCAGAAAAGAAATTGCCCGGACTTTCATTTACCAACGATCAACTTTTCTTCATCAGCCTCGCTCAGGTATTTAAGCCTATAGCTTCCATCGTCGTGATTATCGAAAACAGGTCATTTTCCTCAACGTAAATAGTCTTTATAAAATATGTGGCCTCTTTTACTTTGGTAATCTAAATCGGTCATTTTTCGGTTGCACACGTACCTAGACCAGCGAGGGCTAGTTTTGACAGTACCATTGAGTAGGTGAAGTACAAAGGCTTTAGATTTTTTGCAGTTGAAAAACTAAGCTATACTAACTGGAGAAAAATTCGAAGATCCCAACTATGGTTTATATGTCTTCTGCCTGAAATGTAGTTTGTAGAAATGTAGTAAGATTGTTATATTTCTTCCTCGTGCAGACATGGTGCACAAAGTACAGGAAAGAGAAGGTTAAAGATTTAATGGACTTGGATGTGCATTCTTTGAATCCTGTCAGGTAGGCAAAGAGGACAAAGTATATAGACATGTTCTTTTTTATTTAAGCTTAGATTATATTTTTTCACTTTATTTTTAAGAGAATTTTGACCGGTGCTGTAGAACTAAATTTACCAGATGGTGGGGCTCTTAACGAGAATGCAACTGTGGTGACGTCATTGACGTCACAAAAATATATCGACTCGTATAGGTCCTAACCATATTTCGTCCTTCAATATAAAATATTAGTTGGCTGGCTGCGCCAATCAAAATAGCTTCACAAGACTGCATGTAACAGGAAGTACTCAGCTAAATTTGAGCGTAGCTAAGATGAACATAGGAGCATAAAGAGATTTTGATTTATTAAGGATGTCATTTTGATTTTTTCATTCCACTAAATAAAAAAGTAGCTATGCATGTTTTCTTTTGTATATTTTTCTCAATCAATTAATAATTTCCTAAAGTAGAAGAGCGGCTCCCAGAGATCTAAGAAGGGGGGGGGGGGAGTTCCCAAGCGCCTCCCTCTTCTACAGTACTGATTTTGACTATAAAGATAGTTTCCGCTATGTGTAAATTGTTTAAAGCCCGTGTTTGTGTATATTTTGCAGTGTGTCGATTTATATAACAAGTGCTTATACTTAACGTTTTTACCATTTGAATTTCAGAGTCCGAGTTCCACTGCACAACTTCCCTGAATTCAGTAAAGCGTTTGGATGTCCTGCTCGAAAGAATACTTGCACGGTTTGGTAGTTAGTTGCCTATCATAACAGAAAATGAGCGGTCTCTGACTGAGCCCTAAAAGCGAACGAAAAAAATATATATATCATGATTGAATATTCAATAAATATTTTATAATATTTTAGGATTCACGATTCATCGATTATCACGATTAGCCAATGGACCTTTTGTGTAATAGACAAGCTTACGATCCAGGTAACAAGGAAATAAATCACCACAGCTAAAACGAGCATACCGAAATTTGTATAATTGCCAAGTTTGGCCACATGCACAAACTGTCAAGTATTACGGAAAACATGGCCATGCAAAGTAGCCAATTTTGAATACTTTTTTACTACGGCCGTAAGTTAAACTAATATAGTTACAGACGAAGATCGTGGTAAACAGGTACACAAAATTGCCAACTTTGCATAACTATATTTTCTGTACTTTACAATGTTTTGCGGCCAAACTTGGTAATTTTACTAAATTTAGTATGCACTTTTCGGAAATTCCTTTTTAGTGCCTAAATCGAAAGTTAGTCTATTATGCAAAAGGTCCATTTTGCCCATATTCTTACATAAAAGTTAATCGCCTTTTCTTACAATCAGTTAATATGAATATTGTTCAAGTGCATGTATCATGGCTTAGCAATGGCAATTCAGTTTGTTTTGTGGTACTTTTTTGGTACTAGGATAATTAAAAAAACTAGCATACGTTTTAGTATAATTAATGATACTACATTTTTTACTTAGTTTGTAGTTCAAATATTCACATCAAGTTGCATTAATTGATGATAACGATATACATGATATAAATAGTTTCTTACAATATTTAATTTTCTTACAATAATTTCTTACAATTTTATAATTTATCGTGTGTTGTAATAGCTATTTCGGCTGTGAGCCGATTTGATATAGCATGTTTTAAAACAAGTCTTTCACAATCTTTTGTTTCTCCGTTTTCTATATATAATTATATTCGTGTTGAAATACCTATACCTACAGTTACAGGATACTTATGTGCAAAAATTTTAATTTTGTCAAATTCAGGCCCGTTGTTCGTTGTTAAAAATTTTGTAATCATAAGCCAGTCACGCATGGTCTAAGTGATTGCGCATTTGCCGAGTTAATGGCGAAATAGCTCTTGCACCTGTTTTTATTCATTAAAAGACTAAAATTTCGGCCGCGTGTAAATATCCTGTATTTTCTTTAAAAATGTACATTTTACAGTTGGAGCGCTCAGTTTTAAAATGTGTATCAATTTTAAAGAAAAAAGCGGAAATTACGTGGCATTGGGGCTGCAGTTTACTATCGTTGCTTGATGTTTTGTATTTCAATTTTTATTGGAAATTTACTTGTATGGAGATGTGTCAGGTGAATTCACAGACAATCATCTAGTTGACTAGAGTTTTACTACGTCTCGAATGGGGTTAGAGAACGCGTTTTTTTTACACTACACCGGATTCACTTGCCAAAGGGCAATGGTTAGTAGATTTTTTTACTGCCTTTTAATAGCCACAAAATTTGACCCTCTCCGGAAGCAATCTGGTCATTTGGTGTAGTGTAAACGAGCCATAGCAACGAAAGAGAACGTCAATACGTTAGTCCGTTTAGAGGCAATTTGCCATTTCCAATTCGAGCAGGGTACTGGGTCTAGTCCCCTGATGACCGAACTTCAAGATGTATCACCAAAATTTTAGACCTATTAATAATTCCTAAGGAATTTAGCATGCAGTGACTACGAGTACGACAACGAGTACGCGTTGTTTGCTTACGCCATCAGTCAAAACTCGTAGTCGCCGGACTTTTGAGTAGGAAATTTGTCAAAAAACTTGTACTCAAAAGCTCGGCGACTACGAGTGTTGGCTGATGGTGTATGCAAACAACGCGCGAAAATGACGAATCTCGTACTCGTAGTCGCTGCCAAAACTCCCTATAATTGCTACAATTGTTAGGGGGCTGTTCACAATAACTTCACATGAGTCCGGTTACCTTAGATTTAACGAGGCATGAGATGATTTTGAAATATTGAAATAAGTCTTCAGGAAACAAAACAAGCACATGCACATGATTGTTAGTATCAGGTAGTTAGACACAACGAGTCTCGATGCGCCGTTGTTTTAGAACTTGAATATTTTAAGCTGAGCCTATTATTTTTAAAAATCACGCAATTAAGTAAGTACACAGCTCTTGTCTGAGGTTTTCTTTGCGTCGCTATTTTTGGAGCAGATGAGTTGCAATAACTTTACAATAAATTAAATGCACGAGACAGCAGCTATATATTCATTATAAAACAGATAAGTATACAAAGTTGTTCACCACAAACGCGGGAAACAGTTTAAATGCATTAAATGAAATGTATCAAGCCTAACATAATTCAGTATCATTATGCAAAATATTAATAAAAGTATACAGCAACGTACATTATTGACACGTGTTTAAAACACTTTGGCGTGCGTCCAAATGTGTTTATGGATCGTATCACACTATCGATCGCTTCCACACTGCTACGTTTTTATATTCATGTTGTGAAATTCTAGAGCAACGCATATTCTAGCCAAACTTAAATGAAATATAGATTCGCTTTTATTAGTTTAAAGTTTATGTAATTGTACTCAAAACATGTATTTCTAATTTAAACTAATTTTCTTTTCTTTGTTTTCCTGATGGGATCCACAGTTTTAAAAATGACCGACCTTCTCAAAGTACTCGAAAAACACGGCATTTGCTTCCAGCCCTGCGCATGTTCCCTGCTGGCAACCGCTTCATTGACTATGGCAAGCATGTCCGTCACCTGCAGCTCTTTGAAATGTGCGTTGAAAACTTGCGTCAATGCAGTGATAAACCATGACCCCTCCTTCGTATCCCTGTACGACTCGTATCCATCGACACTTGAATAAGCAACCAATATATCAGCTTCTTTGGGAATGGTTAGAGAATTTGAATGCACGTGATCAGACTGAGTCCTCAACATAGGCCTGGTAACGCCATAATCCCGTTTCTCTCCTCTGCAATTTTGGGCGAAGAGAAGCTTTGGTTTTCCTACTAAACTATTACACCTACTTAAACGTTTAAAAATCTTTTCAAAGCTATGTGTATTACCGTCAACCCCTACAATTCCGTCCGGGTTTCCATGACTTGATATGAAACATACGAATGCATCGTAGGAGCTGAAATCTCCCTCAGTTAAAATGGTTTTGAAAAGATCCCCAATCTCTTCTCCGGTGAGGTTATCTGTTTTCAGGTTTTCGGTGTTGCAGAGCTTTAAATCGCTGAGTTTATTCACCGAAAAATTGGCTTTTCGGCAAAATTGATTGATATTTTTCCTGTCAGCGTCAGCACCAAGACGCTTCTCTGTGAAATTTTCATTGATGAGCGACAACGCAAATACCTTACGGATTTCAGGTTCTGCTATCAGTTTCGTCTTTTCTTTTTTTGCTTCCGATCGCGTTTTCATTTCTGAAAGTAAATAAAAAAACTACAAATTCCATTCACGATTCTAAATACTTTTTAACACATTAACAGGAGATGCATGTTTGACATAATTGTGGTATTTCAGCGCTCTCTATTTGCGCGCTCGAACAGACAACAAAAAATCCGGTGCCGGACCAATTTGGCCCCGGTCAAATATACATTTTATTGCATGTCCGTTAACATCGACTTTAAAAAACAAATAATGTCTTCAACTTTAATAAAAATTTCATGAAAATTTATTACCGTTTTTTACCAGGTCTTAGCTAGTAAAGCAAAGAAATACTGATGTAATGGCAAGACATATTTTATTTGTTTAGTACACGTATTGCCTATAGGTACAGCAATTGTACCAAAGATCAAGATTTGCATGGATATTTAATATATTTCATACCTGTCTTTGACGTTCAGTGTTTATTCTGCGTTAAGATTAGAACATTTTATCTCCAACAACATCGGCCGCTGTAGTTGTTGTTCAAAATGCAAGAAGGTTTCATTATAGCTGACTGCAGGAGTTATGAAATATGATTGATCAACACGTTTTCATGAAGTCATGTTAATATGTAGAGATTAATGGTTTCGAGATAAAAAGCAAGAGACCCAAAATGATACATACGTGGTGCAACGCTTCTCACTAGAAACATACGCGCATTTTACCTAGTTCAGCATATGGATTAACCCAAAATTTTGAAGACATATTTCAGGCTGTCAATGGGCTGAATTCTATCGCTGCATGTGCTGTCAATGCAGAAAATGTTTACAAAGGAAACGTAATTCCATGGCAAAAATTAATAAGTTGGAAGGTTACAGCAATACCTAGTGTTTGTTGAAATATTGTGTTTTTCCCTTACGAAAAATCTACATGATTTCACATGTGGATTTGGAACTGTGAAAGAAATGAGGTTTGCTATACCGTAGCCAAAGTAGACATATATGATGAAAAAGATATATCGCTTGTCACGATGATAAGTTCATGCAATATGTAACCCACTGATAGCTGCATGGCTAAGCTCGCGTTACCAATTAGAAGCTCTCCTAGTGCCATCAGTGGCGTTGTTCATGAAATGTTAATTTTTTCATACACAACAGATATGCATATGCACGCGAGTTATCATTGTGTAACTTTACGATCTATTTACAACAACCGTGCATTCAGAGACACTCCATGCATGGGATACAACTTCATCTCTGTAAAAGGGTTATATATCCTGATCGAGATAAACACAACTATTTTTCAGATCTTCAAACCTATCGCTAAGCTAGTCATTTAGGCCTCATATTATCTTAAATACACTAGTGATATCTGCATGTAAACAAACTTTGTGTGATTTAAGAATTTGTTCTACATAGCCTTGTAGGTACAATATATAGGAAGCTGCTTTTAGTTGCTGCAGGAATAGATTAATAGTGTGCAAAAATTAATGAAAGTTTTCGTGTACGTATGTATGTATGTATGTATCTTCTTATTTAATTGGTTTTGAATCATTGATGTCTTCAGTCAAGTCTTTTTAATGATATTTGGATTTAAACAACGAAGCAGACCTCGTTGCACAAACGTTTGTTAATTATATAACATGTTTGTTAACACGTTCTAACACGTTCGTAACAAACGTTTGTTAATTATATAAAGTTATGGTTTAATTGTTTTTAATTTGTGAAGTTTCCAGCTGGATATTTTCAATGCAATCCACATGGGCTGCAAATACACACTAAAGCCAATGCAACACTGTTTGAATAAAATCGACTAAAATCCTTTACAACATGCAGAAGTACGGTGAATTATAGATAAAACAAAAATTGAATATTTCTGGATAGTCCTTTACTTCAAGAGGAAGATTTTATTTTGTAGATTTTCCTATACAGGATGCTATACATAAGATTGAGGGTATAATTTTATATAAATTACAGTATATACATAAAACTCCAAAGTTAATAAACATAAAACCCAAAAAATATTACTTGTTGCTGATTTCAAACAAACATGTATTCATAGAATTTATAATGCCTAAACGCGAGCAATGGTCAATTGCATACAGGAGGCAAATCTAGTTGTTACAATTATTGTATATTACGTTATATTATAATTAGGTTAACCTGATTCGATGCAGTCTAAGACTTTAAACCAAACAGTTTTTCTTAAGGTGCTCATAAAAAGCGGCGTCTGTTTCCTGCCACAGTGCTGGGTACCGGAAACCATTTTGAGAACTATTGCCAGCATGTCGGTCAAATTCATATCTCTTGCATGGTTGCTTAAAACCTGTGTTAACGCAGTGATAAACCAGGATCCTTCGCTCGCTTTTCTGTACAATTCGTACCCATTTAAACTTGAATACGCAACCAATATATCAGCTTCAATCGGAATGGATATAGTGATGGAGGGGAACCCAAGGGAATCGGCTACAACCCTGCGTTTGGCTTGAGATATATCGGTATGCTTCTTGTATCCTCTGCCACTTTGGATGAAGAAAAGTTTGGGCTTGCCTTCTAAGGAAGAGCACCGATTGATCGGACGAATAATTTCTTTAACGGTAATGGAGCCGCCATCTACTCCTAAGATTTCTCCAGGGTCCCCGTGACTTGATATGAAACAGACGAATGCATCGTAGGAGCTGAAATCTGTCTTAGATATTGTCTTGAAAAGATCTTCAATTTCGTCCGCCGTGAGATCATCTGTTTTAAGACCCTTAGTATCGTTTATAGTAAGCCCAGCGTTCTCACAAAATGTTTTAATGTTTTTTCTATCGGCATCAGCACAGTAACGGAACGCAAACTGTTTGAACTTTTTATTGATTACCATCAATGCAAAACCTTTATTGATTTGAAGAGCTTCCGACTTTATCTGTTCGGCGTTAAATTCCATGATTGTGGATCAGACGGCCAGTCAATGAATTTCTTGCAAAATCGATCGCTTCTGATTCGCGTATTGCCTTTGATTCATGGATGTAGAGATTTATTTGTCGTATACACGTTGCATATGATAGGCTCGAGTAAGAACGTAACTGAAGCACAGTTTAGTTCTCAAAGGTGTTTATAATTAGGGGGCCTTTAGAAAAAATTTGGAGGCAAGTACAAAGAACACAAGACATGCTGGGGTTCTTAGATAATCACGATTCAGGTTTTTAGAGTTTTGATTGCCAAGGTCATTAAATCGTAAACAATAGCAAGGAACTTAACACAAAGTCAAGTCACTCTTTTTAAAACGTCCTGTGGATGATCTAACAATACACAAGTAAACATAAAATACAGAAGACTTAATGACTTGGGTTCACATGCGTAGGCCATAAGGCTAGCGCATTCTTACTGGATACTTTGTCCCATCGGGGTAATCTGTTTGAACAAACTGCAAAACACACGTATCACAAAAAATTTTATCTACGTTAAAATGTAGAGACATAAACAGTATATACGAATAAACAGCACAGTGGGGATTCATTTACATATATAAACTCGATTGTATTTAAATAGTAATTGCTATATATAATGATCTCTAAAGAAGTGACTAATCCTGTATGAAGATGACTAAAGGCCGTTTTCCACCCACTATATATAGGTAAATTTATCTGCGTGAACTGATGAAAAGTGGGAAGCGATTCCACTTTTTCAGGAGCGAGGCACAGTTACGTAATATGTACAATCGGCATATTTGCAACCACGCAAAAAAAAACAAATTAACTCTAGCGGGCATCGATATCCAGCTGATCAACACTGGAATTTAAAACGTCACTTGAAACTGCAGAATTTTCGACTGCATTTGAAACCAAAGGTTTTATTACTCCCATTTACGTCTAATGAGGTAATATGAGATCATATATATCCTTTGGTCTGCGAATATTTTTAACAGATCGTCCGTTTAGTGTTTAACAGATCGTCCGTTGCTATGGAGACAAAATTCACTCCAAAGTGACCAATTGCCTAGGATAGTTTTTTTCGTGCATTATTTTACTTAGAAGAAGAACTAACAATTAGCAAAATATAAAAAATGCAAAAATGACATTTTTTCGATAATTTTTTTGCCATTATAGTTTTTTTTGCATTATGCGAGACATATTTCATATGAAGTACAATACAGCATGCAAAATTTCAGCATAGGTCCCCGTACGAACAGTGGCGTAGCCAGCCTGACGATTTTGTCCCGCTATGTAAATTTCAAGTTATTGTAATTATTCATGTCTTTAGAAATCTATTGATTTCACAGTCAGTGAACGCTAAAATATTAGCATAGCGGGACAAATCGACTGGCTGGCTACGCTACTGCGTACGAAATAACGAAATATAGCGCGCTTTTTTAGCAAAGATGGAATTTTTTAATGATGTGTGCAATTACACGCGCGGGGTCCAAAACACGCATCCCGCGTGAAACAAACACGCGTCGCGCATGCTGTTCTGATGTTGAAAGTAGCATTTACGTTTATGTTTCTCGCTGGTTTTGGCAGTGCGTTCGAAAATAAAACTTGACAAATATCGCAAGGCTATTAATGTTTCCACCCGCAAGAGCGTAAATAAATATACTGCATCGAGCCAACTTAATTTACTCTTTTTTTTTATTATTCTAGTATGCATGAATCTTGATACACATAATTTATAATAGAGCTCAATATAATCCAAAGTGGAAGAAGAAAATTAGTAGCAGCCCCTTTAATATTGAAAATAAAATAAATAATTTGCTTTCTTCCAGTCAGCCCTAGTTTATCAGCCTAGCTTGCCAACCTGATGACATGCAGATTAAGTTCGAGCTACAACTATGTGATTAGTCGTAATAACTATATGATTATTACCTGATGTGTGAAGAAGATTGCGGACTCCACTCTTTTTGCTTTGTAGCAAAGATCGAAAAGTTACGTTACGTTTTTTTTTTATTCATCAGTTTATAACCAAATTTAAAATGTATTCGAATAAATTATATACATAGGTAGCCCAACACTCGTGGTCCGCGCGCGTACACGCTACTCAGTGATTAGCATATATTCATTTATCACCAATTTTACAACTTTATCACCAATTATCAATAATATATCACATACATACATGTCAAACCTCGATAAAAACTGAAAAACTACCACAAAATACTGCAAAATTAATAAATATAAATGAACTTGGATATATTTTCTAAATTCCAACAGTCTTTAGCTTCAGAATGTATTGGGAAATACGGAAATTTGTTCATTTAAGATAAAGTTTTTGAAAATATATTGTCGAAATTTTCTTTTCGATAGGCGGGATCCAATTTACCCTACATTACGTCACCTTCGGAGATATCCGGAGTCAATCCTATTGGCTTGCTCTCTCATGGAGCAATCTTCGGAAATTTTCCGACTTTTCAGCAGCCAATAGGATAAATAGGATTGACTCGGGATTTTCTCCGAACGTGACCTAATGTAGGGTAAATTGGATCCCGCCTATCGACAAGAATATTTTGACAAGATATTTTCAAAAACTTTATTTTAAATGAACAAATTTCCGTATTTTCCAATACATTTTGAAGCTAAAAACTATGTCGGAATTTAGAAAATATATCCAAGTTCATTTATATTTATCAATTTTGTAGTATTTTTTGCTAGTTTTTCAGTTTTTATCGAGGTTTGACATGTATGTATGTGATATTTTATTGATAATTGGTGATAAAGTTGCCAACCTTAGGATAAATTAATATATATGTTAATCACTGAGTAGCGCGTGTACGCGCGCGGACCACGAGTGTTGGACTACACGCGTAAAAACGATCAAGTTGATGCAAGTTGATATAAACAGGATGGAGCAATGCTGTGCTGCCCACATTGTTCAGTGTTGTTATCAATATTGAACAATATTGTTACACCCGATTCAGTTTCAACAGTATTGTTCAATATTGATAACAACTTTGAACAATGTGGGGCTTTGTGGGCAGCACAACATTGCTCCATCCTGTTTATATCAACTTGCATCAACCTGAGCGTTTTTAGGCAAACGAATTGTATATACGAGTAGTCGAAACGTTTAGACGGTAACCAAACGCTTTATCCAAAAGATTGTCGCGATAGTATGTCGGGCGCGGTATGAGTAATGCGGGCAGGCACCAAACCGTTCGGTATTTTCATCCTCATATTCACCTTAGATTCGTAAGCAATTTATGTCTACTTGACACCACAGTGTTGCGATAGCCGAATTTATATTAGACTCGGGAAACTCATCTTAGACGGGAAAGTTGATTTAACTATGTTATTGTCCAAGTTTATGTAAAAAAATGTTTCCTTTCTCGTCACGTGTCTATTGTATTTTACCCAAATTTACCAATGGCATTCGTCTTGCTATAGTATAAGCTATATGTTGATTATAAGATTGCTATTGGTTTATCGGTGAAAAATACAATAATACAAATTCAAGGTGAATATTTTGTCTTGTTTTTTAACAACTCATATCTTGAGTTTACAAGATGTTTATTTTCGGCGTATGTTTTCTCTGTATTTGTTTGTTTTGTTTTCTCTTAGCCTTTTTCCGTCCTTGACCGTGTTGATATTTCAGAAACTTGTTTCATTTATCCGTCTAAATGCGAATTTAAGACGAGTTTCGTGTTTCTAATTTAAGACGACAACTTTCTGTTTAGACGGAAAAGTTAGGCGGGTAAATTCGGACGAGAAACCCGTCTGTCACATTATAGACGAGTTTCCCGTTTCTATAATGAAACGAATGTGACTATATAGGGCTCCCGCTACGGCTACGATATTCCTCATCATGAAACGAAACAAACGTTGCATGCATACGCCACCTATATATAGTTCCGGACATGCAGATAAGCCTCGGCGAACACAATAATGAAGGCATGTTTTATTGTGAAATATTTCAGAAAATATCAACGCTTAGAACTTCAAGAATACACCTAATCAGAGCCTTGCACGGTCAAGGAGAACAGTTCTCTCACTTCTGTTTTTTCCGGAAGTACCACGAATATGTCAATATGCCGAAACTCGTAGCGGTGGCGGAACCATAATCAAATCTAAAGCTCTCTATTATTCAAAAGACAACCGTTCAAGAAATATGCAGTAGATAAAAACTGTAACTGTATTCGGTATTTCCATATCAGCAGGTGGGGCGGGGAACAAGTTCGTTACAAGCGCTTCGATCACATGTAAACAAATGCTTCGCTCACACTTCGATCTCCTATATTCTTTTAAATGTCGTGTGCTGACAGAATATAATAACACTATATTTTTGCTTTTACTATTTCGGAACGAGGGAGGTATTGTTTTTGACAGGAGAACATAAAGCAGAATAAATTTTATTTATCGTATTTTATGTATTTTTTAAACGTGTTTTCGTTTGTGTTTCCAACGTTAATTTATTCTAATATACGAACCAAACATCACTTGTGTTTTCACAACAATGAAAGAAAATTCGCTATGTAAACCATAAACGTGACATGCGGAAAATACCGGCACCGTACCCTGGACGAAGTATGAGTTCTACGAGTCTTTTAGTTCCCAGTAAAATACCTAATCCATATAATAAATACATAAATATCGTTTTTATACATATATATATATATATATATATATATATATATATATATATATATATATATATATATATATATATATATATATATATATACATATATATATATATATATATATATATATATATATATATATATATATATATATATATATATATATATAAACGATATTTATATATATTTTATATATGATTTATATATATAGATAGATACTCGAAATCTAATTAGAATTGCATATGTTGTGTAATATGTATGAAATTCCATGCAAATGTAATCATATATATATGGGGCAATCACCTGGCAAAAAGCCATTTATAAGCTAGTTAATCACAAAATCAAATATGGTCAGAAGCGATGCTAATATAGTAGTTGTTAGGACGACTATGCATGTGGTTTGCATGAATTTAACGCTACATGCCAGCGGAAACTTTATT